GTGGGGATATTAACCATTTCAAAGTTATGACCCAGGGGTTAAGTCTCCAAGGGTGGGGCAGTCCCCAAGGCCAACCTGGAAGCATATGTGCAATCATCTCTTTATACTCAGCAATTGTATATATATGGTTATAGGGTGGAGCTCTCAACTGTTTCCAAGCTGTGACTAAGAAACTAGGTCCCTAGGGGTTCGGTCAGACCCCAGGGTCTATTCTGATATCATGATTGCATTCGTCTCTTTCTGCCCAGCATTTGTATATATAGTTTTGGGGTGGGGATCTCAACCGTTTTAAAGTTATGGCCCAAGGACTATGTCTCCAAGGGTGGGGCCAGACCCTAGGGACATCCTGAAGGTAAATGTGCATTCTTCACTTTATACTCAGCAATTGTATATATGGTTATATGGTGGGGATCTCAACCATTTCCAAGTAATACATTTTATTGGCCCCACCCCTCAGCCCGGGGGTTCAGCCCAACCGTTTGTACAATTTTGAATCTCCACCACCTAGAGATGCTTCCAGTCAAATAAGGTTGATATCCATCACTTAGTTCCAGAGAAGTCACTTAAAGCAGTATAGCCGAATCCCCTTTTTGGCCCTGCCCCTCAGCCCCCTGGGGGGTCAGCCACACCATTTGTACAATTTTGAATCCCTGTTTCCCATGAATACTTCCGACCAAATATGATCAATATAAATGCATAGTTCTGCAGAAGAAGTCGTTTATAGCAATATAACCAAATTGCCCCCTTTTGGGGGCGCCCCTCAGCCCCCTGGGGGGTCAGCCCAACCATTTGTACAATTTTGAATCTCAACCACCTAGAGATGCTTCCAGTCAAATAAGGTTGATATCCATCACTTTGTTCCAGAGAAGAAGTCGCTTAAAGCAGTATAGCCAAATACCCTTTTTGGCCCTGCCCCTCAGCCCCCTGGGGGTCAGCCACACCATTTGTACAATTTTAAATCCCTGCCTCCCAGGAAAGCTTTTGATCAAATATGATTGATATCCAGTGCACAGTTCTACAGAAGTCGTTTGTAGCAATATAGCCAAATTGCCCCCTTTTGGCCCCGCCCCTCAGCCCCCTGGGGAGTCAACCCCACCATTTGTACAATTTTTCATCACCACCACTTAGGGATGCTTCCAGTCAAATATGGTTGATATCCACTTTTTAGTTCCAGAGAAGAAGTCGCTTAAAGCAGTATAGCCAAATACCCTTTTTGGCCCTGCCCCTCAGCCCCCTGGGGGGTCAGCCACACCATTTGTACAATTTTAAATCCCTGCCTCCCAGGAATGCTTTTGATCAAATATGATTGATATCCAGTGCACAGTTCTACAGAAGAAGTCGTTTGTAGCAATATAGCCAAATTGCCCCCTTTTGGCCCCGCCCCTAAGCCCCCTGGGGAGTCAGCCCCACCATTTGTACAATTTTTAATCACCACCACCTAGGGATGCTTCCAGTCAAATATGGTTGATATCCACTTCTTAGTTCCAGAGAAGAAGTCGCTTAAAGCAATATGGGCAAATTGACCCCTTTTGGCCCCGCCCCTCAGCCCCCTGGGGAGTCAGCCCCACCATTTGTACAATTTTTAATCACCACCACCTAGGGATGCTTCCAGTCAAATATGGTTGATATCCACTTCTTAGTTCCAGAGAAGAAGTCGCTTAAAGCAATATGGGCAAATTGACCCCTTTTGGCCCCGCCCCTCAGCCCCCTGGGGAGTCAGCCCCACCATTTGTACAATTTTTAATCCCCACCACCTAGGGATGCTTCCAGTCAAATTTAGTTTAATTCCAACCAGTGGTTAAGAAGTAGAAGTCGTTTAAAGAAATTGTTGACGTACGTACGGACGACGGACGCCACAGTATGGCATAAGCTCACCTTGGTCCTTTGGACCAGGTGAGCTAACTAGGGATACTTGCAAGAGCTGTATAACTAGAGATACTTACGACAGCTGTATAACTAGGGATACTTACGACAGCTGTATAACTAAGGAAACTTACAACAGCTGTATAACTAGGGATACTTACGACAGCTGTATAACTAGGGATACTTACGAAAGCTGTATAACTGAGGAAACTTACAACAGCTGTATAACTAGGGATACTTACAACAGCTGTATAACTAGAGATACTTACGACAACTGTATAACTAGGGATACTTACGACTAACTAGGGATACTTACGACAGCTTACAGCTGTATAACTAGAGATACTTACAACAGCTGTATAACTAGAGATACTTACGACAACTGTATAACTAGGGATACTTACGACAGCTGTATAACTGAGGATACTTACAACAGCTGTATAACTAGGGTTACTTACGACAGCTGTATAACTAGGATTACTTACAACAGCTGTATAACTAGAGATACTTACGACAGCTGTATAACTAGGGATACTTACGACAGCTTTATAACTAGGGTTACTTACGACAGCTGTATAACTGATGATACTTACAACAGCTGTATAACTAGGGATACTTAAGACAGCTGTATAACTAGGGTTACTTACAACAGCTGTATAACTAGAGATACTTACGACAGCTGTATAACTAGGGATACTTAAGACAGCTGTATAACTAGGGTTACTTACAACAGCTGTATAAACCATCCACTATAACACATACATCAAACTAGGGATACTTACAAGCGCTGTAGAAAGACGAAGAATGGCAAGTAGTGTACGTGCGGAGGTGAAAGTGGTGTCCTTGCTGTTCCTGGATTCCTTCCTCATCTCCACATAAGCCCCTGTGATGTAATCTGCCAGACCCTCGGGGATCACTGGCTGCTTCTTCTTGCACAGGGCAATATATCTCCTGTGACACAGACGTCGGGTTTTAAAATAAATGGTCACAAGGTTTGTTTCCCCTTAACTTTTAATTCCACATACATATCATTTAATGCATTCAGAATATCATTCATGATTTCCCAGGGAGGGAGAGATAAGGAATTATCAGATGTAATAATACGGTTTCAGTTACTGATTACAGCACCTTTTACTTTTTCATTTACCACATTGATTCACTTACGTGTTATGAACAGTGAAGATGTTTTGTCGAAATAGGATGATAATGATCATACTGTCGATTTTTATTATAAAAGTGTTATATTTTCAAATAAAACGCCCATTTTCATTCAATTTAATGTAAAGCATAAACTGAGAAAGGAATATTAACTAATATGTATTCAGGATATCTTCATGAAAATCAGTCAAATCATATGAAATAGGGATAGTTCATTAATGAGTAATTATTAAAACACACTGTATAGGCCCTCTACATGCACTTGTAACCATAAGACCATCCTAGGTCTGACAATGTCCTTCACACAGGGAGAAGATCAATGCCAGCTCATCAGGGTTTGCATGGGCTGGATCTTACCTCATGAGTTTCATGTCGAGTGGCGTGAATGTTGTTGGTGGTTGGATGTTGTGCTGATGTACATAGGTAATATGTTGGGCAAGTCTCAGGTCGTTCTCCCGGTCAGGTTTGTCCTGCATGAGCCAGAGGAGGTCAAACCTGGACAGAAGGGCCGCTGGCAACTGGATGTTCTGTTCAATGGTCTTCTTAGGGTTGTAACGGCCATAAGCAGGGTTGGCTGCAGCCAGGATGGAGACACGGGCATTTAGACTCGTCATGATGCCAGCCTGTTACAACAAGGTATTTACAGGTGTAAGGAAAATAATTCATTTATACATCATAACAGTTACATTGCATACTTTTTTATCAATCACATGATCACTGCCGCAAAAATACCCTGTAAATTAACACCACATAAAGCAACTAGTTACCTTGGCGATAGAAATGGTTTGTTGTTCCATGACCTCATGGATGGACGTCCTGTCAGTGTCCATCATCTTATCAAACTCATCAATACAGCACACGCCCTGATCAGCAAGGACGAGAGACCCTCCCTCCAGCGTCATCTCCCCAGTGATGGGGTCCTTTACCACTGCTGCTGTCAATCCAACGCCTGATGACCCACGTCCCGTTGTGTACTGACCTGTAACAAAGGTTAACATTCCAAAATACTTAGCAGGGATTTTACTTTGCTGTCTTTAGAAAAACTGACTAAAGCCATCCCTAAACTGAAAGTATAATTGACAACTCTAATAGTTAAAATTCCCAACTGCTAGGTCCAACTAGGGAAGGCCACAAAGTGAATGCGATATATATGTTCAACTGAAAATGCATATGCAATGTGTAACTTTGCTATAAAAACCAAACCATCCACTATAACACATACATCAGCACTGAACTTATACCCTATTACTTCTTTATTAGAAGATATTCTATTTCATACACATATCATCAAATATCAGATCCTTCCTGCAAAACGAAAAGCATTTAGAAACTGACAGTAACTGTCCTTACTTGGGGTCATTTTCAATGAAATCTCACTGTCGTATCCAGAAAGATGCATTTTCATGACACCATACAGGTTTTTGTAAACAAGAGGCCCAGAGGGCCTATATTGCTCACCTGGATATCTAAGCAATCATGGCAAAATATTCTCCAAATGAGATCCAAGGGAATATGCCAGACCCCAAGGACAATCCTTGTAGCATATCTGTATTAGATTTTTCATGCCCAGCAATTTTATGTATGGTTATGGGTGGGGGGGATCTCAACTGTTTCCAAGCTGTGACTCAGAAACTAGGTCCCTAGGGTTGTGGCCAGACCCTAGGATCAATTCTAATATGATGACTGCATTTGTCTCTTTTTGCCCAGCATTTGTATATATAGTTTTGGGTTGGGGATCTTAACCCTTTCGAAGTTATGACCCTAGGGTTTAAGTCTCCAAGGGTGGGGCAGACCCCAAGGCCATCCTGGAAGCATATGCGCATTCATCTCTTTATACTCAGCAATTGTATATTTGGTTATAGGATGGGGATCTCAACTGTTTCCAAGCTGTGACTATGAAACTAGGCCCCTAGGGGTTTGGTCAGATCCCAGGGTCTATTCTAATATCATAACTTCATTCGTTTCTTTATGCGAAGCATTTGTATATATAGTTCAGGTGTGGGGATCTCAACCGTTTCAAAGTTATGACCCAGGGACTATGTCTCCAAGGGTGGGGCCAGAACCTAGAGCCAACCTGGAAGCAAATGTGCATTCTTCTCTTAATACTCAGCAGTTGTATATATGGTTATATGGTGGGGATCTCAACCATTTCCAAGTAATAAACTTTTTTTGCCCCGCCCCCGGGGGGGGGGGGCTAGCCACACAATTTGTACAATTTAGAATTCCTGCCCCCCATGAATGCTTTTGATCAAATATGATTTATATCCAGTGCATAGTTCCACAGTTGCTTAAAGCAATATAGCCAAATTGCCCACTTTTGGCCCTGCCCCTTAGCCCCTGGGGGGGGGGGGGGGGGGGGGGTCAGCCCTTCCATTTGTACAATTTTGAATCCCCACCACCTAGGGATGCTTCCAGATGCTTCTAGTTAAATTCCTATCTGTGGTTAAGAAAGAGAAGTCGTTTAAAAGAAATTGTTGACGTACGGATGCCGGACGCAACCTTATGGCACATAAGCTCACCATGGTCCGAACCATGGTCCTTCAGACCCGGTCAGCTAACAACCAATTAGTTTCTAAATGATTTGTACAGTATACTGGACAATGGAGACAGAGTCACTGAAACCTTGTCTACAGTGACTACCTGCATTAGGAAATGAGTTTAATAACATATTTGACCTTGATAGCCATCACTTCATATAACTGATCAATATTCCAATCAATGGACATTTTTTATAGCGTTCCTGTTAAATAGAACTTCTTCTAAATCTAAGACACAATCACTTTCATTTCAAATATATGTATATTTAATATCCTGGAGTGTCCTTGCAAACACGGATTGGGCTGATATTTGTCCTGGGAAGTGGATGTCTATATACCGTAAATTTGCGAGCATAGTGCGCAGGTACGTTTTTGGGGTCAGATTTGAAAATAAAAACAAGAGGCCCAATGGGCCTGCATCGCTCAACTGGTATAAAACTCACACTTGTAACCTTAAAAGTGATCTAAAATAAAGCTACAGGCAAAATATCAGTATTTATGATTAAAATTCATTCAAAAGACTGTTATTTTTTTTTTAAACATTTCACCTCTGTGATTGAAAGTCAAACAAAGTCATTATGTTGAACACATTGTATAGCCTTTCAATTCTGGATGCAACTTGCAAAGTATCAACATCCTGGGACCCATGGTTATTCTGAAGAGGTTGTTTAAAGATTTGAAACAAATTTGTCCCCTGTGACCTTGAATATAAGTCCAAGTCATTCACTTTAACAAACAAAGTAGTCCTTGATCCCAGCATATGCTACTGACTAAATATCAACATCCTGAGCCTTTTGGTTAATCAGAACAAGTTGTTTAAATATTTTGAACATATTTGCTCCTTGTGACCTTGAATAGGATTCAAGGTCATAGATTCAAACAAACTTGGTAGCCCTTGATCCTAGTATGCTACTGACTAAATATCATCACCCTGGGCATTTTGGTTATTCAGGAGAAGTTGTTGAATGTTTTTTCTCATATTTGACCCCTGTGACCTTGAATATAGATGAAGGTCATTTATTTGAACAAACTTTGAAGCCCTTTATCTCAGCATGCTACTGGCCAAATATCATTACCCTGGGCATTTTGGTTATTGAGAAGAAGTTGTTTAAAGTTTTTAACATATTTGACCCCTGTGACCTTGAATATGGGTGAAGGTCATTTATTTGAACAAACTTTGTAGCCCTTTATCTCAGCATGCTACTGGCCAAATATCATTACCCTGGGCATTTTGGTTATTGAGAAGAAGTTGTTTAAAGTTTTTAACATATTTGACCCCTGTGACCTTAAATATCGGAGAAGGTCATTTATTTGAACAAACTTTGTAGCCCTTTATCTCAGCATGCTACTGGCCAAATATCATTACCCTGGGCATTTTGGTTATTGAGAAGAAGTTGTTTAAAGTTTTTAACATATTTGACCCCTGTGACCTTAAATATCGGAGAAGGTCATTTATTTGAACAAACTTTGTAGCCCTTTATCTCAGCATGCTACTGGCCAAATATCATTACCCTGGGCATTTTGGTTATTGAGAAGAAGTTGTTTAAAGTTTTAAACATATTTGACCCCTGTGACCTTGAATATGGGTGAAGGTCATTCATTTGAACAAACTTTGTAGCCCTTCATCTTGGCATGCTACTGGCCAAATATCATCACCCTGAGCATTTTGGTTATTGAGAAAAAGTTGTTTAAAGGTTTTTTTAATACAATTGACCCCTGTGACCTTGAATATAATTAAAGGTCATTCATTTGAACAAACTTGGTAGCCCTTCGTGCCAGGTGAGCTAAAAATGAAAACAAGAGGCCCATGGGCCTTAACGGTGACCTGATATATTTATACAGAGAGTTGATTTTGTTTTTAACATGAACAGAAATATTATTCAAAGTGACAAAAAACAATAAAACCACCTTACTCAATATCTAGCATACAGATTTCAGACTAAAAAGGATTTGAAACTAGCACCT